AAGGTTGGGCAATCCTACTTCCGTAGTGATACTGCCTCGGAAACCCAAGGAGGGGTCGCTATGAGTCGGGGCCGACTCGACGGCAAACAACAACAAGAAGAACAAAGAATGTTGATGGAATCAGGATTGGGATTGCATTGAATGTATAGATTGCTTTGGGTAGATCTGACATTTTTACAATGTTCAATCTTCCTATCCACGAGCATGGTGTGTTCTTCCATTTATGTAGATCTCTTATGGTTTCCTGAAATAGTTTTTTTAACATTTCTGTTTTGATCGCTGAAAGTATATTTGGGACTTCTTCGAATACATATTTAGGATATCAGTTAAACCAAATGATCTAAGCACAATATAAGATATTCTCTTCATGTGCTTCATCTCCACCCGTAATCGCTCTACCTTTTAAATCTGTTATCCTTTCACATTGTACAGCCCTCTGTTCACTTTATTTTATATCTATTATTCTTTCAAAAATATTGAAAGTAGTGTGTAATAATTACATATGATCATATAAAAAATTAGGTGATACAGAAGAATAGAAGATGAAGTCTCTCTTCCACTTCCATTTCACAGTTCTTGTTAATCTTTCTTGAAATTTTTTATGCACTTACAAGCATATATAAATAAAATTACATACATATTTATATTTTAACATACTATTCTTCACTTTTTATAATTTTCTACCTTGAGCAAAAGAAGCCCTAGTGGCACAGTGGTTAAGTGCTCAACAGCTTACCAAAAGTTTGGCAATTCGAACCCACCACCACTCTGCAGGAGAAGGAGGACAGGGCATTCAGCTTTTGTAAAGATCTACAGCCTTGGAAACCCTATGGGGCATTTAGCTCTTTCCTGTAAAATTGCTAAGAATTGAAATTATGTTAGTGGCAATAGTTTGGTTTACTTTGGGCATCTTTACATGTGAGGATATTTATGTTGATGGGTGTAACTCCACCCCAAGTTTTCCCCTCAGTCTAATAATTTAGAATGTTCCTCTTTCTCTTGCTTTCACATCCTTTGTTTAATACAGCTTTGACCCTATAGCCTTCTTCCATACTTTTTCACAAACGCCCCTGTCCTCCTTGATACCTGCCTGGTAAATTCCCAAGGCTTGATTAGTTCCAGTATCCATCATATTCCCTCCAGCACCTGTTTTACATTGTGAAGCACTGGTGGGAAAAAAGACATGATGGTGCAAGTTTAATCCACTACAAGTTTATAGTTTTCAGTCATTAATACATTGTTTTGAAATATTCTAATATGAAAATTTATACCTAAAATTGGGTCTGTGTTTG